GCCTGTACGCTGGAAGTGATGCAGCCATAGCTGCCCAGCGAGTTAGCATTAGTAGTAGAGGGTTAGTATGTAGCTATGAGTAGTATCCAGAGTAGATCCTCATGAGTATTGAAGTGTGTGTATGCATCATAGGAGGAAGGGATCGAGGCTGAGAGTGTTCATTCAAGGTTTGGCTATGGAAGGTACTTACCTGAGTTGGTTGTGACCTGCAGAGGTGGCGCTGATGAGTAGTGACCACGTTGATGATTTGGAGACTATCTGCAAGGGTAGCACTGATTCACTGGAAGGCATATTGATGAGTTGGCAAGATATTGGTGTTGCGCTGATGAGCGCTGGACTCAAGGGAACTTTGAAACACTTTGTATTCATATTTCTGATAATATAAACTGTGAAACTCGGTCCTCATCTTCTCTATCTTTGTCTATTGTCAGACTACTGTTCATTGTGTGTGGGAGTACGATGCATGGCATGTACACACTTGCGTGAGATGGTCCCCAGGACCCATGCACACAGGCCACTTCCTCTCCGGGCACCTGCAGACCTCCACGCACAAGATACCAAGGCAGCTCTTCCGCATGGCTCACAGGTGAATGCATGAATGGCTGGACGCGGCCTCTTTATTTATACTTCTTCAGAGGTACCCGGGCCCTGCCTCAAAACGTGTGGGCCTGGGCCAAAACGTGTGACCCAGGGAAGCTTCCAGACGTTTGGCCTTCTGGCCAAAACGTGTGGAACCCACAGCGTGGTCCAGACACTTCCCCACGTGCCACCCCTACCCCTGGTACCTGCTGACTGGACTGGCCTACAGCGACCTACGACCTTCTAGAGCCTACAGACTTACAAACAGACTCTAGGCCTCAGTAGACCTAACTCCTAATCTACAGATCTAGGGATCGAGTCTTACACAGATCGCTGGGCCTAGGTACAGGGTAAAGGGTAGGTCTAGGGATCGAATCTCACTCAGCACACAGGGTCAGTGTACAAGGTACAGGATAGGTCTAGGGATCAAATCTCACTCAGCACACAGGGTCAATGTACAGGGTTTGGGCACAGGTCTAGGGATCGAATCTCTGTGTCTGCAAATGTCGGGTCTGCTGGGTGAAACCATTTCAACTTCAATTAAGTCACACGTAAGAAAATCAACACGATTTGAGAGCTCTCAATTTAACAATCTATTGACAATCAAATGCCTATAGCATGCAGAGAACACGTGTAGCATGCAGAAAACGCATACAGCAAGCCACGAACGCATAAAACGTCGCATATATTATGCAGAAAACGTGTATAGCATGCAGAAAAAAGGCTTGCAATTTTATTTATTTATTTATTTATTTATTTATTTATTTATTTATTTATTTATGTATTTATTTATTAGGCTTGCAATTTTAATTTTTAACACAAGGGGTGTTTGCCAAAGCGGGAACCTTCCCAATTTCCAATTCTTCAGGCCTTTGAAAGCAGGAATTGCGGGGGGGGGGGGGGGGGGGGGAAGGGATAAAAGGATGGAGAATGAACGGAGAAGACTCTTAAGGGATATCTGTTCGTAAGTCTTTCATCAAGTTCGATGGCTCACCTCCATCTTTCCCACCACCTTTCTCTTCATCCATGTACGTGAATGATTGTTATAAATAAATAAACAAATAATAATAATAATAATAATACAAAGAAGAAGATGTTTCATGTCCGCGTTTCACTCTGGTTTTCATGACAAGGATTGTTATTCACCATACATGTGGCGCATCGACATGCGCTGCACCGAGCACACGCGCGGCACCGCGCACAGCGCACTGGGTGCGGTGCACCCCGAAAATAAGGGGTCGAGAAGAAAAAAAAAGTTGGGGAGGGGTGTTTTAGGCCCGAGTGGGATGTCGCATCATAAACCACAAAAAAATTGAAAAAAATAAAAACAAAAATTTGAGGCCGCGCGGGGCCTTTGGGAAAAAAAAAAGGGGGGAAGTTTTTGTGTGTGTGTGTGTGTGTGTGTGTGAGAGAGAGAGAGAGAGAGAGATGGCGGGAAGAGGGAGAGAGAAGTAGCGATGGTGGATGGCGGAAGGCGGGAGAAAGGC